GGTCTCGAACCCGCAGGCTCAGGCAATCCACTTATCTCAGCCTCCCAAAGGCACGGGATTACAGGCTGAGCCACCGAGCCCGGCTAAAATAATTTTTAAAAAAGTTTTGGCTGGGCACGATGGCTCACATCTGTAATCCAGCACTTAGGGAGGCTGAGGCGGGAGGATTGCTTGAGACCAAGAGTTTGAGATCAGCCTGGGCAACATAGCAAGACCCCATCTCTATTAAAAAAAAAAAAAAGACTTAAAACTTAAAAACAAAGCCTAACATTCCCTGCGGAGGGCAGAAAGTGCCTCTGCTTGAGTCCGGGGGCCCTCTTCTAACCTTTTGCCTCCTCAAGGTGGAAAGGCCTCTGAGAGGACCCTGTGTCTCCATGGCAGTCCTTTTAGAACAAGCTCATCCCATGGTATGAAGATGCCCCTCACTCTCCCAGCCCAGCCACTCTCACCTCATCATGTGGATGGCCTCAGGGTCACTGGCAAAGCTGAAGGCATAGCCACTGGATGTAGTTCCGAAGTCGATGGCCACCACCACGGAGAAGGAGGTGAGCTGAGGGGCTCGGGCTTCCGGCTTCTGCAAGTGCAAGACTTAGAGTTAGCAAGCAGCCAGCAGGAACCACCGATGCAGTTGGGAGCTCTTCCCCTCTACTGGCTATGGTCCAGACCAGCCCTGGCCCACCCCACGTTGCCCACCTGCCTGGGCTCCGCTGCCCTCCCCGGCTCCAGGCTGAGCCCTGGATATAGAACTGCTCAGAAGCCTGAGGCCTCTCAGGTAGCCCCATGAAGTGTTTGGTTTAAGCTCCTGTTCCTGCTTCCAGTGCCTGTTCACCCTCTGCCTGAGCTCAGCCCCACCCCCGCCTCAAACCATCTTTGCAGCCTACCACCCGCCTGGGCCCAGCTGGGAGTAATTTTGCTCCACCAGGCAGCTTTACAACACATGGACCTGTGTATATTTTTCCCTCTTGCTCTTTATGGCCACAGTGACACAAACCAGACTCTGTCCAATTCTGTGGCGGAGCAGAGAGGCCACATGCACGAGCCCAGAGTGGGCCCTGCCTTCTCCCAGGCCAGAGCTGGGCTCTCCCTGAGAACAAGGGGTTCCCCTAGCTGGAACACCACACTATCCAGGGTGGGTGGAGTGACCCAGGGATCTTGAGTGTGGAAAGGTTACGTCCTGAATACTTCAAGCTAGTACCTTCCAAACTATTTTTTAGCAATGTGTCTCCTCTCCTCCAGATATGACTTGGATTAAGCTGGACTGTAGTTGACAGGAGAGGGGAAAACTCTGGGAGGCCCAGTGCTCTGAGGACTAGAAAAACCACATGCTCAGAGGTATACTTGCTCCAGCCAGGCCAGCCGCAATGGCCCCTGGGTACCATCCTGTGGCAGAGAGGCTGGGAGTTAGTTATGTAGGGCTCACCTTCTCAGGAGGATTGCTACCCTATAGTCCAAGTCCACCCAAGGCCAGTTCTTCCAGAGCCACATGACTGCAGTGTACAGTAATCCCAGCACTTTGGGAGGCCAAGGTGAGTGGATTGCCTGAGCCTGCAGGCTCAAGACCTGCCAGGGCAACTTGGCCAGACCTCATCTCTACAATAAATCAAAAAATTAGCCAGGCGTGGGAGCACACGCCTGTAGTTCCAGCTACTTGGAAGGCTGAGGCGGAAGGATTGCCGGATCCCAGCAGGTAGAGGCTGCGGTGGCCGGGAGCGGCCACTGCACTCCAGTCTGGGTGACCTTCCCCCTTCCCAGCCCAGGCCTTACTGCGACTCTCCCAGGCACGATCCCCTTCATACCAGCCAGGCCACCCACCACCCGATCCCTGCTCTGGGCTTACTGGAGATTGTGAGGGTGTGAGGGGGGCAATGCCACAGCTTTCCTGGGTCCTTGGGGAGCCGGGTGGGCTAGGTACTGGGGACCGTTCTGGGCTGGAGCCTGCAGAGGAGAGAGGGCAAGTCATTCTGGTACAATCATCCTGGCACAATCGGACGGGCGGTTCTCCATCAGTCCTTGCAGAGCCAGGGGCTGAGGGCCTGTTATCAGCTCGAGGCAACCTTTCCCTGGAGGGTGACCCATGCATGCTTCACCTAGGGGACTCACAGACTCCTCCAAGCACCCCTCAGACACATAGCAAAGGAGGGGAGAGGCAGAGAAGCATTATGTGGCAGGAGACTGAGTCCAGAGATGTAAGAGCAGGAGAGATGTGGTAAGTGAACTCTTAGGGTAGGGATAGAGGAAAGAGAAGCCACAAAACGTGAGGGTACTACAGGGCCAGGTGTGGTGGCTTACACCTGTAATCCCAGCACTTTGGGAGGCCAAGGCGAGAAGATCACTTGAGGCCAGAAGTTCGAGACCAGCCTGGGCAACATAGCAAGAACTCGTCTCTACATAAAATTTTAAAAAATAGCTGGGCGTGGCACAAGCCTATAATCCCAGCTTCTTGGAAGGTTAAGGTGGAAGGATCACCTGAGCCCAGCAAGCCGAGGCTGCAGTGACCGTGAGTGTGCCACTGCACTCCAGCCTGGGTAACGGAGTGAGACTCCAACTCAAAAAAAAAAGGGTGGGGGGACTATAGACCTAACTGGCTGGGAGGTAGGGTCACTGGCTCAGGGGTGGGGCTGATTCCCTCTGCCCTAAAGCTGGGCCACATGGTTCGAATCAGGACTTGAGGAGCTCCCAGGCTGACTGCTGGGGGCGCGCGGGGGGTGGTGATCAAGAGGGAGGGGCAGTGCTTCCCCCAGCCCTGCCCTGAGCAGAGGGAGGGTGTCCACAACACTGGGAAGTCTGATTACCACGGCCCCCACACATACATACATCCCAAGCCAGAAGCATTTGGGAGCAACAGGCCCCATCAAGACTCTCCTGCCAGCCTGGGACTGGGCTGAACCTTTTGGGGGAGAAAGTAGAGGAGCCCCCAGAAGGCGGCCCAAGGCCTGACTTAGAGGACCAGGAAGCCTGCAGGCAGAAGGGCCTGCCTGGCTGGACATCCACAGATGTAGGCTGGTAGCAGGTCACCACACACTGAGGTTGCTAAAGGTCATGAAATGGGTACTGGGGCTGTCCTGAGACCCATAGATGGGGACAGGAAGGCGGGCCAGGGAGGGAAAGCGGGATCTGGCATGAAGATCCATGGGCAAATCAGGTAGGTCTATCTGGCTTCAGGCTGTGCCAGGACAGGGCCTATTCTCCTTCAGTCACAGGCCTGCCATGCACTCCCAGGCAGGTTCCACTCTCCCTGGTCTTGGGGGAACTTGGAAATGCGTGTGAAGGGCCAGGTCTGAGGGTGCTCTGGGAAGTGCCTGGACAGAGCTGGAGGCTGTCTGCGGTGCCGGAGAGGCAGGGACACAGTGGTCCCCTTCTAGCACAGGCTCAGGCCCTGCCACCAGCTCCAGCTTGAGAGGCCAAGTTGCTGTGGCCCGAGCCTGGGAAGGGAGGCAGGAAGGAAGGGCCCAGCCCGCCAGGTCTTTGTGAATGGACTTCCTGAGGTGTGTCCCTCCTGCCTCCCAACCTCCCGCCCCAGCAGAACCCAGAGCCTGCTCCCAGACCAGGTCATGGGCAGCACATGTACACACAGAGTTCTGTGCATGCACACTCACCTGCAGACTACACTCTCTTACACAGGTCCTGCGCACAGAGGCCTACCCGTAGAGACACACACACTGACATACACTCACACAGGATTCTGTGCACACGAAGCCTGCACAAAACACATGCACATACCTATGGTCCTAAGCACACAGATTCTCCTAGCACATACACACGCACCCACACCTACACTCCTATACACAGGGGATTCTTGTGAAAGGACTCACCCTATGCACACACACTCACATACACAAATCTATGCACACAGATTCTCCCTGCAGACACACACACACACATTCATTCACACACAGGGTTTCCTGCCAATACAGACCCTCCTGGCACACACACACGCACACATGGGGTCCTGTGAACAGATCCCCACTGTGTACACACACACTTACACTCACACATACACAGACCTTGCACACAGACGCTTCCTGCACACACAGAGAGTACAGTAAACACAGGCCTGCACACACACACACACACACACACACACACACACACACACACACACACTCACAGAACGGCTCTCAGGAACCTCAGCTGGGAGAGGCACACTGAAAGGCTGCAGGTGGGTTGGAGTGAGCAGTGCCGGGTCGGGCAGAGTGGTGGGGGTCTTACCGAGGTACAGCCCCTGCAGGCCCATCTCCGGGACAGCTAGCATTCTTGCAGGCCCTGTAGCTGTCAACAGGAATAGACGAGCAGCATGAAATTTATTTGTTCCTTTGTTCCCTCATTGAATGCTTATTTATCTTATTTATCTACTTTTGGCTGGACTCCTTTGAAGCTAATCCCAGACATCATGTTGTTTCACCTATAAACTCTTTAATGTGTCTCTCCAACAGATAAAGATATGTTTTAAAACATCATCACAACACCATTCTCATGTCTAACAAATTTCACAATAATTCCTTAATCCCATGGAAAGCTCTGCCCCCCAGGCCCAGCTTGTCTCACAAATGGCTTCGCTTCGTTGGAATCATGATCTTCCTAAGTGTTTTCTGGGGCTCACTCTGTGCCAAGGGGACATCAATGACCCAGAGAAACACTGTCCTGGGGACGCAAAGCTTGGGGACTCACAGGTGGGAGAGATAATCAGTGATTTTGAGATGAGGCCTGTGAAGGTCACAGCTGGATGGAGGGGGCGGGGGTTAGGATCAGGTTGAGAGCACTCACTCTGCAGGTAGGCCCTTCCCTTGCACCCTATTTTAGATTTAGCTTTATATGAAGGACAGCAATAAATCTCGAATGGTCGGGGGTGGGGACATGACTATAATTGCATTTTGAGAGCCCCTCTGGCTGCACAGGGAGAGTGGAATGCATCCAGCCAATATGGAATCAGATCAGGAGCCCATGGAGGCTACCGCAGTCCCTTAGGCCACAGATGATGATGGCGGCTGTGTGCCTTGAGACAGAAGTGGAGACATTTAAGAGACAGTTGGAGGCCAGCATGGTGGCTCATGCCTGTAATCCCAGCACTTTGGGAGGCCGAGGTGGGAGGATTGCTTGAGACCAGCCTGGGCAACATAGCAAGACCCTATCTCTACAAACAAAATCAAATAATTAGCCAGGAGTAGTGGTGTGCACCTATAGTCCCAGTTACTTGGGAAGCTGCAGTAGAAGGATTACCTGAGCCCAGGAGGTCGAGGCTGTGTTGAGCTATGATTGTGCCATTGCACTCCAGCCTGGACAACAAAATGAAACATCCTCCCACAAATAAGAGACAGTTGAAAGTTAAAATCAACAGGGCTGATTGGATTGGATACAGGGGTTGAGAAAAAGAAGGTATAGCTGAGTGCAGTGGCTCACGCCTGTAATCCCAGCACTTTGGGAAGCGGAGGCGAGAGGATTGCCTCCCACCTGGTTGGTTCAAGACCAGCCTAGGCAACTTGATGAGCCCTTGTCTCTACAATAAATAAAAAAAGTAGCCAGGCATGGTGGTTTGTGCCTGTGGTTCCAGCTACCTGGAAAGCTGAAGTGAAAGGATCACCTGAGCCCAGCATGTCAAGGCTGTGGTGGCCGTGAGTGTGCCACTCCACTCCAACCTGGGCGACAGAGTGAGACTCCGACTCAAAAAAAAAGAAAAGAAAAAGAAGGTGTTGGGGTGGCACTGCCTGGCTCAAGCCAGGAGACAGATGGCGAGATGGGAACACTGGGGAAGGAGCAGGCTGGTAGGGGAAGAGTTTTGGGTGCAGCTTTGAGCTGCTAAGGGAACATCGTAGCCACATCTGGTTACATGATCTGAAAGTCAGGGAGAAATCTGAGTTGGTGATGGGCATTTGGGAGTCATTGTCATGGCTTGGCAGGAGCAGAGGGGGGAAGGGAAGGGAGGAAAAATTACACTTAAAAGCTGAAGGAGAAAGGTGAGCTGGCCAAGGAGACTGAGGTACTTTATGCCACTTCACGAAGACCAAGCTGAGAGAGGGGTGAAGCTAGATACCAGGAGGAGGTCCTTAGATGAGACTAGAAACACCTATATCAGTGGCCTAAAGCAGGTAAGTCTAGGTGGGCGGTGAGCAGAGGGTGACAGTTTTGAGCTAGAACTGAGAAGTTCGGCTGAGATCAGGAATGGATGGAAGGGCGGTAGCTGGAGGAAGCCAAAGCTTGAAGAGGAGAGGAAGGATATTTTGTTTATTTTCTTTTTTTTTTTAGTTGGAGTCTCACTCTGTCGCCCAGACTGGAGTGCAGTGGCCGCTCCCGGCCACCGCAGCCTCGACCTGCTGGACTCCGGCGATCCTTCTGCCTCAGCCTTCCACGTAGCCAGAATTACAGGCGCGTGCTACCACGTCTGGCTGATTTTTTGATTTGTTGTAGAGATGAGGTCTCGCTGCCCTTTTGTTTATTTTCTAAGGTGGGAGAGACATGAGCCTGTGTCTGTGAAGTTCATTGGCAGAACTCTCCAAATCATCAACAGCTTTGTTATGCAAAGTGTGGTCTCAGGATCAGCAGCATTGGTATCCCTGGGAGCTTGTCAGAAATGCAGAACCCAGCCGGGCTTGGTGGCTCAGCCTGTAATCCCAGCGCTTTGGGAGGCTGAGGTGAGT